TTATTCAACGATGGCAATGGGGCCCCCAGGTTTTATGCAGGGGACCATGAAATGGGGGATGTATGGATTACTCGGCTGATTTTTTTGGGGATGTGTCAAAAGTTATAAAAAAAAACTACCTAATACTTGTGGGGAATCGGCATCCATGAACGCCAGTTATTTTAAGATAGCTAGGTACCAGGGTTTTTGGGCACTTGGGGGATGGCCCACTCGCCGGATGTCGATGATGTGTTGGAAGGTGAGGCCCTCGAAAAGTTACGGTCATAAGTTATAGTTGATACACTCATCAAGTATAGTTATAGTTATATGATGTGATATGCCCCCCATAAACCTTAATTAACCAAGATTAACCAAACTATAAGTCAACTTAGCTATCCTGTAGTTGTACAGGGATGTTGTTTTTTTTTCATCGCGTGGTTGGATTTTCCCATATTTTCTCATAGTTTTCCTCTAATTTGGTTGGAATCTCTTAAGCAGCCACTCCGAAAAATCTCCTGGAGGAAATCCCCCAGCGAACTAAACCTCCATTGATGGTGGCCACCCATCATCAAATCTCCAGGAACTCAGAAGGAAAGACCTGCTTGGACTGTTGCGCCATGGGAGCCATGGTGGAGGGAGAAGAGGACCGGTGTAAGGGTCGGCCAAATCGCATGGGAGCGCCATGGGAGGCGTTTCCGGGTGGGCCAAATCTTTCAGAACTGATGAGTCTGTTGGAATCATCAATTTGTGGTTTGCGATCTTTTTGAGGTCTCATGAATTTTGGAAAAGCGTTAATGGTAATAATGATAAAAATGATTGCAACTGAAGGGTAAAACCATGTGAAAACCTCACGAGCTTGATACCATTCGCTGGGCTCAAGATGATCGCAACTTCTGAGTTTTTCTGCTGGGAAAAGCCGACGGCCATCCATTCGTTGATCATCATCTCAAGGATTTCATGGCCAGGAAGAGGAGCCCGAGATCAATTTGACCTTTCTGAAGATCATGGAAGAGATGGGCATCAGACCCTGAGTCAGCTGTGATTCCATGCATATCATGGCAGTTTCTATTGCCCCGCAATCGCCACTATATGCGCTGCCGGGTCGTGAAACAACCGAACGCGACCATGAAAAATAAGACGCCTTGGTTCCGAAGTGGATACCATGGCGCACTGAACCTGTGTGGCGACCAAAAATGACAAAACATTGTCCGGTGATGTGGTCAAGTAGGGGCAACAAACACCCGGTTTCTCGGTGTTTTTATCTTGGCATCACTTCACCGGAAGCGGGGTACATCCACAAATTGGACATGATTCAGCCGGAGATCTGATCCTTTCAACAATCTTCAACCATCTTCAACCATCAGTCGGGTGGATTTTGGCATTGGTCTGGGCACAATCGCCATCTTTTGTTGGTCAAACCTGCAATGTGGGCCTCGCCCAGTTATGTTTGTTGGTTTAGTTTCATCACATGAATACTATAGTTATTTGCGTATCATAAACCATAGTGAAATCGGAGTTATGTGGCCCCCAACTCAGCGAAGTAAATCATCAAATCCTATTCGCTCCCATTCAATCACCATTCAATCCCTAATTTTCATGGTGAAATAGCCATGAAATCACCATTAAGTCATCAGAAATCACCATTAATGACCCCTAAATCCCATTGAATCCCATGAAATCCCATTGAATCCCATTGAATCCCATGAAATCCCATTGAAATCAGCGTGAAAAATCACCATTTTCGGTTGGTGAACGCTTCACTGTTTCGGCTCCAGCAGCAGCTCGCTGCACAAGACCGTCTTGGCCGATCGACCGGCGGCTGCGACCGGCCCGGTAGATGGCCGTAGGCTTTGGAGTGCTGGGAAGCGGAATCCCCAAAGGATATTATATTATATATATACCCATATATATCTGGGTAAATTACTGCAGGGAAACAATAATCCCAAAACGAGCTAACAGTGGTGAATTCTGAAATCCAGCTGGAAAATTTATACCTTTTATTTACATTTACATATATATATATATATTTGTTGGTCATTTGCAAAATCTCCATGTGCTGATAAACCTCGCATTCTCCCTTTGGTGAGGTTTCTCCCTTTGAGCAATGGGGGAAGGTGACAAGATGACAAGATGATGATCATTGGATTATCCATCATCCATTCCTTATCAGATAATCCAATATTGGCGATGACGATGATCATGATGTGTTGATGATGATGATGATGATGATGATGCTGCTGCTGATGATGATGCATCCATACATTATCCATATGTTATTCATATATTAAAGTATACTACTATATCAATCTATATCATATGCGACAGAGTTTTGATTTTTTTCTGAACACCATGAAAGAAGAGCGAATCACCTGCAGTCCGCTGCCGGAGCCACGAGACATTCCAGCACAGTCATGGCCAGGGTTCTATGGATGTTTTTGTTGTAAGAAAGCCTTCAGAAGTCGAGGAGGAGAAGGAGCGCATACGTTCCGTTGTCATGGCCTCATCTCCACGCTACGATGGCTTTTTGATACGACAGCTTGCCCATCATGCCTGAGAGAGTATCATACATTTGGTCGTTTGAAGGCACATTTGCATGTGAATTCTCAATGTCGGCTGCGATTGCAAAACAGGCCTAGCCTGCCTGCTCCGGCCGCCGGGCTTGGCTCCACTGAGAACTCTGCACTTGAGCATAAACATGATGGTCTGGTACCTCCGCTACCAGGGTGAGGCCCTCAACTGCCTGATGCTCGCATGAGAGAGGTTGAACAATTTGACCTCGAGTTGTATGCGAAAGTGACAGAGCTCTTCTTGCAGCATGGCCCTGAGGAACATGCACAAGCGCTCACTGACTTCTTGATGGAACAGCCCATCTCATGGACGTCATGCTGCCACACCCTACGTGCATTGCAGACCCATGCGACAGAGGAAGACGCCAGGGCTTTTGGATATGACCACCTGCCGCCTTTTGTCTCCTTCCTTGCTGGTTTCATTGACCCTCGGAAATGGGACTTTTTGCAGGTTCAGGCCCCACAGCCCTGTCAGCCAGAAATTGAGGAGTTGGAACAGGAGCTTGCAAATGCAGAAATCCTTGAACAAACTCCTAGGCCAGCAGCGTTTGGTGTTCATCGTTTGGTTTTACACGCATTTTCAGGGCGACGTCGCCCAGGGGACTTCCAAGAATTCCTTGACGCTATTGTGGGCGATTGCTCTGGCATTGTGGTTCACGTGGTGTCAGTAGATGTCATCCTAGACCGCAACTGGGGTGATGTCACGCGCCCAGAGTGCCAACGATTTTGGTTTGATGGGGTGAAGCGTCGCTTCGTCATCGGCTATTTAGCTGGTCCGCCTTGCGAAACCTGGAGCAAAGCGCGCGCTGTGGAGGTGCAATCAGCGCATGAGGGTCGGCAGGGACCGCGCATTTTGCGCACTATGGAGGAAGTTTGGGGCATGAGTAGCCTTGCTGTACGTGAAATCCGGCAGGTGCTTGTGGGCAATCAGCTCCTCCTGTTCTCTTTCCAGATGATGCTGCTGCTCTACGTGGTTGGGGGGTGCGGCGCTCTTGAGCACCCGGCGCCGCCGAGCGAGGAGCACTTGGCCTCTATCTGGAGGACACCCTTCGCGATCCTGCTTTGCCAACTTCCAGGTGTTGTGAGGCATGAGATTTCACAGGGCTTGCTCGGTGCGAAGTCACCGAAGCCCACATCAATTTTGACACTCAACCTACCAGACTTTGTGGAGCATGTCTGGCATGGAAGAGTCACATCCCATTTGCCGAAAGCTGCATCCATTGGGAAGGATTCCTTGGGACAGTGGCGCACCACTGCTCTCAAGGAGTATCCGCCGGCGCTTTGCCGAGCTTTAGCGCGTAGCTTTGCAGCATTCGTCACCTCATGCACAGTAGACTCATCGCATAGCATTTGTGCAGAATTTTGGAACAGGTGCGAGGCCATGGTAGCCAGTTACGGCCAGCACATTGGTCCAGACTATGCGGGATGAGCTAGAGGCGACATGAATTTAGATGCACAGGCCGCAACTCTCGAGTTCCTATGTGCCAGAGGAAAAAAAATATATATATATATCTGATATATGATCTAAAGCACGGCACCAAGGGAGACAAAAAGAACAGCAATGGCGACTGTTCGACGAATGCCTTGGGGACGATCATGATGGTTTTCAGGTCAAACATGGTCAAAGCAATGATGGAAAAATTGGCAAAAATGGATGGGTTTTCATGATGGTTTCCTATTTCCGATGATACACATGGGGGAATTTTATGGAATTTTCCTTTGTGTTTGATGAAGAGGCACGTTGAGGAAATGAGTCATTTTGCAGCAGCCCAAGTGGTGTCTCTTAGACTGCAAACAGCCGCTACTTCGCTGCATTGTGGGCTCAGCAGGACAAAACGGTTTTAGGTCCTGCGTAGGGTAGCCGTTGAATCTTCGGCGCGAGTCTCATTATTGTAGCATGCAGCATGCTATTATAGGCTATATCTGCTTCGTAGGTCCGTAGGTCCGTAGGTCCGTAGGTTTCGAGGTATCAGACAGTGTGGTGGCTATATAGACCCGTATTGATGAGATTGATATTTGGAAACATGATATGACTACAGGTCAAACGATATGCCACATCTTGGATTCCAAATCACAAGCGCGGATTGACAGAAAACTCAGCAGCCACCCACTCAGCACCCATCCGCAAAACCATGAATTCGACAGATCAAGTGCCTAAAGAATTAGAGGCCTCTAAATTATGGAGAATCCAAACGTTGTGATCTCCGAATTTAGCGCACTCATCGAGCGGCATTTTGGTGACTTCCACATCAATCTGCACCCATCTCTACTGAAGTTGCATCAACAATCAACACTTTTGATGGTTCTTTCAGTTTCCATCCCAGTTGGCATTTTGAGTCCAAATGATGAGCAAAAAAAAATAGCAAACACCTGGCAGCTTCTCAGTACCTTATTCACCATACCTCATCAACGTAGCTGGTAGGTCACTTCTTCCCAGAAAAAAACCGCTGAAAAATGGCGGCTCCACCCATCTTCGACATGGCGGAAAATGATGTCGCTTGGCAACGATGCGATCTGGCGGTTTGCTTGAGTTATTTACAGTATCTTTAGAGTTTACACACCTAAAATCCAACTATAGCTAGGTGATGATTTCAAAGTACTTTAAACGCTGGTGTTTTATGTTTTTTCGGAGATCTTGAGGCAGTTTGATGGCGGAATCTTTCACCAGAATTCATACCTAAAGTTCCGAAGGTGTTACTGAAACACTGTGAAGGTGAACGTATTCACACTAGACATGGCAGACATTTAACCGGCAGTTGTTCCAAGTGGGTCAACACTTTTGGTCGTGCATGGTCTATTAGCCTGTTCACCAAAATCACTCATGAATAATCTTGAATCTACTGTATACTATATATAATATATATATATACATTAATTAATATATATATACATTAATATATATATATACATTAATATATATATATACATACATTAATATATATATATACACAGCACCCGACAGAATTATGGAAACAAATAACACGTTTCAATTTACAGGCGCCGCCTGTCTATGATAGAAAAGTTACGAACCTCTTTTTTTTTCCATAATTATTGTTTCCATATTTTTTTCCATAATTCTGTCGGTGACTGTATGTCCATCGATTCGCAATTTGAATGCATTTTAAGGGGGAATATTGAATTATAGAAAATATGTGTCTAAAGATCTGGTATATGCCCCTAAGTCTTCCATTGATATACATAATATCATGTGATGTTCGCAATTTGAATGCATTTTAAGGGGGAATATGAATTATAGAAAATATGTGTCTAAAGATCTGGTATATGCCCCTAAAGCCTGCCATTGATATACATAATATCATGTATACGGGTATGTACATGTAAACCCCATTTCACCATTCGCTTCCATAACCCCAAAAAAAACGGGTTTGAATTGTGGATCCATGACATGTCCAACAGGTGGAGCCCCAAACATTAATTATGGAAAACATAATTATGGAAAAACCGGTCAATCTGCCCTAGCCCCCTGATTTCACAGAAAAAATCAATTATGGAAATTATGGCCACCTCCAAGAATTATGGAAAAAAAAAGGTTCGGATCACTTCCGGGATATTTTGAACCCTTATGGGGAAAAATCCAATTATGCAAAAATCGGACGCAGGCGCCGCCTGTCTAAGTTGAACGTTTTTTTTTTTCCATAATTCTGTCGGTTACCATATATATATACATATACATTAATATATATACATATACATATACATTAATATATATATATACATTAATATACACATATACATTAATATATATATACACATGGATATTTCATATCATCCACAGATATCAACCTTTCAACACCTGAGATCTTTCCCTCCGTTGCCACCATTGATGCGAGGCCGCCGGCTCGGAAGTGCAGATGTGGCTGGAGGAGCTGGGCCTGGGGCGATACTTCGGGCTGCTGCAGGCGTCGTTGTTGGCGATGCCTTCTTCGGTCACCGACCATGGCTGGGAGTCATTTTACCCGGCCTGGTAAACATACAAAAAACTATGGAAAACCACCATTTTTAATGGGAAAACTCACTATAAATGGTGGTAAACTAAGAGTTTGCTATTGAAAATGACAATTTTTCATGGGAAAATCCACTATTTCTATGGTCATTTTCAATAGCTATGTTAAATTACCAGAGGGTAAATCATCCCACACAGGGTCTGCGATATGACCCAATCATCCCAACCACATTTTGAGGAGGGTTTGTTATTGTGGATAGTCAATTTTTTCGTTTGGATCAGAGCAGACACACGGAGACGAAATCTGCGTCAAGAGGATTAACAATCCACCTATTTTCAAGTGGGGCTCCCACCAATTCAAATAGTGATTCAGATACCTATTCTGAGGGTCCCCAACCCCCCCAATTAGTAGTTAGGGTTTTTCCGCGCAATCCGGGGATGAAATTGTCCAACGGTGGTTAGTTTCACTGTTTTTTTTGTTGTCCACTGAAAAAAAACGGGATAACTCCAGTGGGCGAACCGCTTATGTGATACGGAAAAAAACATCAATGGTTAACCATCTAAAATGGGGAAATTGGATCATGGGGATATGATTCATGGGGATGTAGTGAATCAATGAACAATGGATTTAACATGATTTAATATGATTTAACCAATGAAGCATCATTCAGAATCATTCATATAAAATAATGAATATGGTATATTATCCAGCTGATATAACACATATAAGATTCTATAGCAATGTGAACTTATATGACATATACTGTAATGACATATATATATGGGTTATATACCATACCCTCGGGTAATTTAACATAGCTATTGAACATGACCATTTATGATTGATTTAGCGTTCAAACATAGTGATTTTCCATAGTTATGTTTGTTTACCAGAGGGTACAACACCATAAATCCCCGTTGAATCCCATTAAATACTATTCAATCACCATTCAAAGAACATAAATCCCCATTAAATCACCATGAATTCCCATTAAATCACCATGAATTCCCATGAAACCACTATGAATTCCCATTAGATCACCATTTTGTCCCCATCGAAGTCCGATGGCCCGCGCTCCTGAGCTCCAGTAGGCCGAAGGCTTTGACGACTTCCGCATCATCCGCCGCGCCACGGAGGAAGACGTCAGCGCAGCTTGGCGACAAACACCCAACAGTGAACCATCCTAAAAAATGGAGGTTTATTCTGCTTAATTGTTGGGATATACCACATCATGATATTTTACAAATTGGTCATATGATTCATATGATGGTGAAATGATACTGTCATTGGTGAAATGATCGTCTCTATGAATTTCTTATCGATGAACATCCCACTCGAAGCCACTCGAAGAAAAACTCTTTGGTTCATCCGAGACGGTGAGACGCACGTTTCTGCGAAGGTAAGATTTGACGTAACTATGGAAGGCATGGCAAAATTTACCCTCTGGTAATTTAACATAACTATGGAAAATCACCATTTATAGTGAATTTTCCCATGAAACATTGTGTTTTTCTATAATTATGTTAGTTTACCAGAGAGTATCAAAATTTGGTGATCTACTGAATGATGGTGATGAAATCCAGGTGATGAAATCCAGTTCGCTGTGAGTATCACCAGAGAGTATCACCAGGGGTGGTCATATCCTGAAAAAACTCCAAATATATATATATAACATCCCCATTTAGCCACCAAAAAATGGAAAAATCTCGGTAAGAGTTTTGGATATCCTAAGAATTTCTTTATAAATCATCCTAAATCCATAAAATGAAGTGGTTGGTCATGTAAATAGTTTCCCTGAAAATTTCATGGACGCTTTCCTCTCCCTGGGGTGCATCCCCACCAATGGGATGAGATATGGCTTGTGGAGTATAAATCACGGATCCGAATCGTGGGGCCCGCCCGTCAACCATCATTTATCGATTATATCACAATTCATAGATAGTTTATAAACCTCAGTTCGACGGCTATCATAATGGCTATCACAATGGCTCTACATAAACCTCCAGTCATTAATAACCCAATTATCATAATTAATAATTTTCATAACTACATCACCTATCATGGCTATCATAATGGCTAAGAAATCATATAGACCATCCGTTTATATGATAAATCACATAGACATAATGATATATGATATGGAGGTTTATAGGATAAATCACATAACACATCATGGCTAATATAAATCATAACGGCTAATATATCATAACGGCTAATATAAATCATAATGGCTAATATATCACACAAACATGTTTATGTTTACTCCATCATGGACCCAACGTTCCCCCCCGGCGTCCAAGGAGTTGGTGACGCTCTGCGCCATGCCGCGCTTGCACGAGCGTCAGCTCCGTCGGGCGCTGCGGGACTTGCACCGAAAGGAGGCGGATTTTCGGGTCGAGAAATGGACCTTTGGTGGTGAACGAAGCCAGGACTTTGGTAGGTAAAAAACATGGTTGGTGGTTTCAAACATGGCTGGATTATTTTCCATAATTAATATATGGGATGTCATCCTTCCCATTAAGGTTTCGGCTCGAAATCTGTTCCCCCTTTACGGTTTGTCTAGGGGCGCCGGAACCTTAGTGGGCATTCGGTGATTTCTGCCCACGGGTCATTGCGTTTTGACCTGGTTTTTCATTTCGTGGTATTCGATTCCTGGTGGTCACTGCAATTAAATTTGCTGACGCTTGGGTTTTGGATATTATTCTTCTCTGGGGGAACGTGCTACGTGGACATTGACTTCTCTGTTCACAGTGCTCTTTGCCTGGATTAGGATTGAGAGGTGATTCTGCGCTTCTGCAGTTGTGCGTAACAACTGAGCGATCTCGTATTTTGCATCCTTTTGCTCTTCGGTGGTACTTGGTGTTTATGCTCCCAGTTTGTTTCTGGGTTTTTGTATTCCATCTTGGCGCCACTTTCAGCAACAGCCAGGAGAAAAGCTCGGAGGTTGAGGGCATCAGCCAGGCTTTCGTGGCATTTGCACAGGAAAGGAATCAAAGTACTCAGCAGACATCGTTTGCAGCGCATTATTCATCGGCTTTCGGATCATCATTCAAGAGATTTCAGTTTTCTACGTTGTATTGCAAAGACAATGACTACGTACGAAGCGTATCCGTGGAAGTGTCACTGCGGGCGTATCAACGCCAAACGGGCGGAGTTTTGTCCTCAATGCTCTGCTCACTGGACCACAGGCAGTCGGCATCCAACGGAACCCAGTTCCAAATACAGCAGCCAAAGCTACACGCAGTCCCAGCCAGCAGCAGATTGGGGTTATTCGCACTGGCAAGGGCGTGGCTCAAGTTCCCAGTCGCCTCGTTGGCGGCAACAATCCAGTCCACGGCATCGACATCAGCCCAGTGGAAAGAAGAAGAATCGTGGCAAGGGGAAGACCAGAGATCAAAGCCAAGCTCGTCGAGAGCAGACAGAGCAGTTCCCAGCCTTTGGTCCCCCAGTGTCGCCGCCCAACCATACGGATACACCATGGTTAGTGCAGCAGCCACCCTTGGCACCCCCACCACCTCCGCCGGTGGCGGTATCCGAGGCCGAGAAAAAATTGAAGGCCTATCAGGCACTTTGCAAAAAGCACCAGCAGAGCTTACCGCCGGAAATGCAGCAGCTTCTCAAAGAGGAAGCTATCAAGCAGGGAGAAGTAGCCACTACTATCATGCACAAGCAAGTGAACAATCTAGGCAAAGCCCGCAAGGAGTTGGAGGAAGCACATGCAGCAAGGCTGAACCTCCATACCTCTTGGCGTACGTTCCTTGTGGATCAGGTGCAGAGGTGGCAGACGTACTCTGTGAACTTCCAGCAACAGGAAGCGCAGTTGGCCGAGAGGGTCAATGTGGCCATCCAAGCTCTCGAGGCTGCAAAGACCGAATTGACCGCCTCGAAGAAGTCCCTGGGCGAGACCTCTCCAGAGGACGACAGTATGCAAACTGCCGAGGAAGACAAGCAAGCCCAGCAAGTCAACGAGAGCACTTCGAACAGCGCTCTTCGTATTACAGAAGGTTTGCAGCACCTTTCAACCTCTTTGCAAGGGCTCAAAGAACAGGCAGATCAGGCGGTCGAGATCGAAAAGCAGTCACTCAAACGGCCTCGCATTTCCGAAGTTGTCGCAGGTGCTCAAACAGCAATGCCTCCAGATGCACCAGGGCAGCCTTTTCATGCGGCCGGGCATGCATGACTCTCTTGTATGCTGTCCAGTGGCCTTTGGCTGCGGATGCTGATTTAGTTCCGAAGTGGACTCACAGTATCCTGAGTGAAAATCCATGCCGTTCAGAATGGGCTGCGCAAGCCTCTGCCAGTTTTCTGGCTTTTGAGCTAGGCCAGTCGACATTCCATGTTCCAGGCGATGTGCCAGTACGGACCTGTAAGCGTCGGGGTGCCCTGCAGGTTTCCTTTGCCACTGAGGTTCACGTATTGATTGGACTCGAAGATAGTCTGTCATGCTGTTCCGTTCGTGTGTTGCCTGAGGTGTTGCAGTCACCATGCAAGCCATGGGCGTTGAGGCCGCCAGGCTATCAACCTAGCCCGCCACCCAAATTTATTCCCCTTGAGGGAGAGGGGCCCATTTGGGAGGATGTAAAATATCAGTTTTTGCAAATTCCGGAGTTGTCCCATCCATGTTGGACTTCTTGCCTGTATCCGCTTGAAGATTCCCACAGCGAGTGTCTTGGTTTGTTCAACTGCCGCCATGACCAGTCTCTTAGCTGTCTGTCTTGGCCAACCGGTCCTGCCTTGCCATGCCCTGACGACTTTGGTGATCCGCTGTCGCCTTCGGCCGTGTTGATCTCGGGTCGTCAGTGTGTCCCTTGTCCTGGTAGATCGCAAGTCTGTCAGTCCTGTGAATTGCCTCGACGTGCCGGAAATGAGTCTTCATTTTCTCCTGAATTAACCATCGATGTGAGTAGTGCGGGGTTTGAGAACGGTCCCTTTGATGTCACAGTAGATTCTGGGTGTTTTGGTCAGTCACCTGAACCTAGTCTCTCCAGTTGCGTGCAGCCGGTTGCCTTCTCTTATCCGCACCAATCAGTTGATGAGGATGATTTTGATGGATTTAATTTGAGTGAATCATCAATTTTGTCTTTTTGTCCTGTGACTCAAGTAGGTTCCCTCACAAATGATGGAAGCCAGTCAGTGACCAACCCTTTTCCGCAGTGTGTTGAGCAGTTGACTACATGCATCGATCAAGCCCCCTCTGGTGATCCGCTGTCTGCCCAGGCCGTGTTGATCTCGGAAGGTGTGCTTGATGTCACTGCGAGTCTTGATCAGGATCTCGCCATTGAAGCATTGCGGTTTCAAGAAGCTGAATTAGTTTCTGTTTCGTCAGGTTCCACAACTCGACCTAGCAGTCCTGTTGGGTTTGCTGATGTACCTGTTCAACTTGATGAGGAGAGCAGTGATGAACAAATTGGTCAAGCAAAGCTGACACAGCAAGCTGCCACTCAGCACATGTCCATTGTCCAACACAAGCTTTCCGATGCTGGCCCAAGCCAGAGTGCCCAATACGCATCTACTCCGGGTGTCACTCCAGAGGGATTTCCATTTGAATTTGAACTGCCGGCGTTTGTTCGAGAAATGATTATACATTTGCCTGCAGGTTTCACAGATCAGCCGCGTCCTGTCAATGAGGGGCCACTGGTTCGTATCTGGTATATTCATTTGGATTTTCAAGTCAGATCCTTTCAACAGCGCCAGCTTCAGTTGACTGGACCACCGCATTTCTGGCGATCTCAGATTGTTGCTGTCTGGTTCGATGCTCTTGCACCCCATCAAGACGTCGCCATTGACTTGGTTGCGCCAATCCCGCCTCGCAAGTGGTATGAGCGCAGTCTGGTTTTTGATGTCATTCTTTCACAGTCCACATTTGTCAGACTGAAGCCCGCATTGGTCACGGTGTTACCCAACCCAGTTGCACGCAGTCTGCAGCTTTATTCTGGAGCTGTTGCCCTTGACGTTCAAATCACAGGAAATCAAGCCATCCAGGCCATTGCAGCGGAGCGACTGTGTGCAGAGCGTTTTTGTCAGGTCACTTTTGGACATCAAGTTATTCCCAATGATGGTCCTGCTGCTCATCTTGTCTCAGCTGGTAATGGTTTTGTTGTCCACATTGGCCGTCAGCGTAGTCAAGCCGCTGGTAGTGCTGACGAGGTTGTCATGACAATGCATATGCCTATGGATGTTGAGGAGAGCCATATCTCTGATTCGGAGCCTGCCCTAGCAAGCCAAGGACCGGATGCTCCGAGGTTACCTCCACAGCCAGCATTGCGTGAAAGAAACCAGCCTTCTGTGCCAGCATTATTGTATGCCTTGAACAAGCCAGCCAAACATGCTATGGTTCGTCCGCACTTACCGCAATGTTTGTTGAATGACGTGGCGAATGTTTTTGGCGTCCAGCCGTCCCAGATCTCTGGGCTGCATTTTGTTCATGCCACTCCAGTTGGTGAACCGCCGCTTTCGGTTCACATCATTGTCCAGCTTATTGGGGATGTTGTTCCTGGCAGTATGGAACAACTCCTATTGCTTGATGTTGCGTTCCAGTGTCATGGTTTCCCTGTCCAGCCCTGTGTTCAGATGCCGGTTGACCGAAGGGTTGTCTTGCTGCCGCAGTCGTTGGTACGTGCACGGTTGTTGGACATTGCATTCATTGGCACATATTGTGAGTTGCATGGACACAGATGTCTTGTTTCCTTGAACAGACAGCCGTGGAAGCAGCAGGATGTTATGATCAATGGTCTGTCTTCCGGTGGATACCTTCGGATTGAGGTGCCGCCGCCGCATGCATCAGGTGCTCATACGTGTCATGCGGTTGAACTTGTTGAAGACATTGGCCTTGATGAAACGCAACCGCACTTTGTCGATCATTATCCTGATCTCCCTGAAACCTCTGTAACTCGTGTTCGGTCACGGGTCACTGAAAAGACTTCTGCCCGACATGATTCCCCGCCAAATGTTTTGCCAGAAGCACAGTTGAGGGCCCTTGTGCGTGATGTTTACCACATCGGCCCCAATCACCAGCAGGAGGTACAACCGTTGTACCGTGACTCCCAGCTGCCTGCACCACATCTTTTGCCTAGATTGCAAGATGTTTCCGCTTTTGAGCTTGAATTTGCGGCCATGTTTCGGGATTATGCAGTGACTGAACGGGAAGGTGAAGGTCAGGTAGCTTACATTGCCACATGGTATGTTCATCATGATCATCATCCAGTGTGTTTGCAGGGTCGACTTGTCAGAGTGCCTGCGCAACGCCAATCGTGGTTTCCAGAGTTGTGCCGCCCTTGGCTTATGCACATTCGAAGGTTTGAAACCATTGTGGTTAGGGTTGTTCGGCCTTCACCTCCTGCACTTGAAGCGGGTACCAGGATCGCACATGTCATTCTTGAGCAGGGTCTCTATCGTCCCAAAGTTGCTGCTTTGTGCTCGGTATTGGTTCAAGCTTTCCATGGGGAATCCAAGCATCAACGAGCTCAATCCTTTTCACAATCTGTGTCTGCAGGGGATTTGTATCAGGCGTTGGACATCGCCCCACTATGCATGGTTCGACAATGTAGTGCATGGTCTGGTGTCATTGGCTTCCAGCATGCGGTACGTGAGGAGATCTTTTCAGGCATTGGAATTTTCGTTGATGTTCGTTTGCCGCGGTCTCGTTTTGGCAGTCGTGACTTGCACCCCGCTCAAGTTGTTGCGGATTCAGACCAACCCCCTACGATGCAGTTTCACCGGCTTGACGACCCCACCACTAGTCCGCCAAGCAGCACCAGTGGCTTGCCACGTGCCACAGGTGAAGTGCCGCAAGTCCCTGAAGAGCATGTTGAGGGACACTTCATGCCAAATTTGCGCACAGCATGGGAACGGTATCTCATCACTGCAGTGACTAGGCCTTATGTCTTCCAAGTTGAAGTCTGGTTTTGTGATCATGACCGATATCCGAGATCTGACATCAGCAGGGTCGTCACTCTTCCAATTGATCCAGCTTTGTGGAAACAGAGGCTCCTGCAGGCATGGGAGGATTGTGTTGACCCGGCGCTTGAGGCTTTTTTCTATGTGGTCGATCCCATGCCTATTGGTGGCACACCTGGCCTTGTCGCACACATCATTGTTGCACAGAATCAGCATCCAGGATTTGTGTCTGCGTTGATTACAACCATCGTTCCTGGGGATGATCCATGGCATCCACATCGTGTAGTCTTGAGACTTCCTTCGGTCGTTGACCATTGGTTGTTGCTTACGGAAAGTTACTTGCTCCAATTCTGTCCACCTTTTGTGCCGGCCAATCAGTGTAACTCATGGTGGGGCGTTATTGATCTTACCCCCGGTAATTTGATGCCGGTACATTCCGGCTACGGATTCCTTTGCACTGCACAACCTGCCCCAGTCCAGGTTGCGGATCATGTATCTAGGTCTCCAGACAGCATTGACAGCATTGGCACGTCCATACAATTTTGGTATCAAGAAGCTCACCGTCTTGCGCTTGGCCTGGTTCAGTGTGTTACGCATGCGTTTGTCCGTGTCTGTCAGTCGAAGGCTTCTGTTGAGTCCATGCTCTCGGATGCTCAAGAGCTTGAGCGCACAGCTTTCAGCGTCGATACGTCTGTCCAGTGTCCTGTCGCCAGTGTTCATCCGCAAGGTGTCTCTTCGCTTGACGGGCAATTTGCAGCTCAACCCCAAGCTTTTGTGGATATTGATTCATGTAGGTTTGAGCCGCTCCAGCATGTTTGGCAGATGCGCACTAGTGGCAGCTCGACGGCTATCAGTACTTTGGCAGTGCGTGTCTGGTTCTCAGATCACATGCGGCATTCCAGTCATGATTCTGCGCCTCTCGTTCATCTGTCCGAGGATGTTTCTAGTTGGTCAGCGCAATTGCTTTCACCATGGGTGCATTGCCTTGACCCGGGTGTCCCGGTGTCCTTCTTTGTTAATCCACATGGTGCGCTTGGGCTCTGGGATGATGCTCATGCTCATGTTGTCCTGGTTCAAAACCCCATGCCACGTCTTGCCTCCGTGTTGTTGGTTACTCACCATGAGTGGCTAGTTTGCCCAAAGCCACACATTGCAGTCGGGCTGGTTGAGGTGCCTATTTCCCCAGCCACGGTAGTTCAGGCAGTTCGGTCCTTACATCCTTTGTATGAAGACTCAGACTGGCGGTTCAGCACCTTGCTTATCGGACAACCATGCCCAGAGTTCTCCATTGATGTCCTTGCTCATGGTACCAGTTTTGATGTCTGGCCTTGGAGAGTTTCAGATCCGTGGATTGGGCTTTCTGATGTTCAGTTCCAGAGTGCCTTGAAAGTGCTGGTGTCGTCACCAAGTGCTCCGCTACCAACCACAACTTCCAATCATCCAGTGACGTTGTCGCTTCAGGCTGCACTTCCTCTCAAAGAAGTCGCGTCCACTGATCGAACTTTTGATGACCACCTGCCGACCATCTCGATTTTAGAGCATTCTAACTGGCGTCAGCAGCTTTCAGATCAGGAATTGCCGCCCTTGTGGCCCTTGCCAGAAGGTTTGATTTTGCCTCCAGCCACCTATTGGGCTATGCTTGATGACACCCCAATTGATGAAGGTCGCTCTTCCTGGGCAGAGCTTTATGTTGATGGTTCAACAAACACAACTGGAGCCGCTTGGAGTGTGGTTGTTGTTCAAACAGACGGGATTGCTTACAGATTTGTCGGCACCCTTTTTGGCCGGGTTGAACATCAAAGTTCTTGTCCTGCATGGATTGGCGCAACTACGTTTGACAACATTGCGGCAGAGTTCTCAGCATTTGCCATTGCGATTGATCTTGCCTGTCGCATGGGACCCGTTGTGTCCGTCATTCGACCTGATTTGCAACTCAGTGCCCATATTGCTTCTCAGCAGTGCGTCACGGATTCAAATGTGCAATTGGCTCAGCTCATTGCTGCCTTACATGCCTGGATGCCTCCAGGTTCGCATGTCCAAGAGGTGCGTGGTCATAGTGCTCATCCGTGGAATGATCTTGCTGATGCTCTTGCGCGTTGGGCACTTTTGCATGAACCGCCCGTTCCGCATGCCGTACCGGTGTTGCACCAGCTTGCGCAATCACCTGCCGACCTGCAATGGGCATGGATCCAAGGAGGTCCACAGTCATTGTTTCAAGCATTGCCTCCGATTGTTGATGGTCAGGTTTGCCAATTTCCTCTTTCTTTGAGACGGGTGGCCCCACTCCAACCTGCTGGTGCCGTTGAGATTGAGCCCAGCCAATGCGTTGTACAGGTCATTTCTCTTAATGTGCTTGCGCTTGACCCTGTCCGTGAGCAATTGCAGCACTGCCAGGCTTGATGAGCAATGGCACCGCCAAAAGGTGCATATTGTCGGATTGCAGGAGACCCGCACCTTGCCAGGTCGTGATGTCACAGAACATTACATGGTTTTTTCCTCAGGTTTTCAAGATCCTGCAGCACCGAGATTTGGTTGCGAGGCTTGGTTCCACCGTACTTTGCCATTTGTCGTTATGCCAGATGGCACCAGTCTGTTGGCCACGGATTTCAAATTTGTTGTCGTGCATGCTGATCCACGCAGACTGCTGATTCGAGGTGATCATACCTGTTGTTCGTTTCTCCTTGTTGTGCTTCATGCCCCATGTCTCGCAAAAACCAAAGGAAATGGGCATCGCCCAATCGATGACATTTCGCAGTGGTGGCAAGAAACTTCAGAGATCATTCAGGCCAGCCCCGCAGCTACCTTTCAATGGGTGTGTGTGGACGCCAATGCACCACTTGCGTCCCAGGAAACAGAATGTTTTGGCCTCCTTGATGCAGAAGTGACCAACGCACAGGGAGGAGTGTTTGAGGAGTTCCTGCTTAGACATGCGTTTGCGGTTCCCTCCACGTTTCATGACATTCATCAAGGCCAATCCTGGACCTGGACTCATTCATCAGGTGCCAGATGCCGACGGGATTACGTGTTGGTGCCCTTGCCATTGTTGACCTCTGTGCAGAAATCCTTCACCTTGACTTCATATGATGGTACCTTCTGTCACGATGATCATATTCCGGTTGGTATTGAATTTGCGGCCTTTTTGAAAGCACCTGCAGTTGCCTCGCGAGTGCGTTGGGATGAACTGGCCTTCCTTGATCCGGTCCGCGTGGCTCAGTTTCAAGATGCTTTGGCAACGTTGCCTCTGCCCACATGGGATGTCAGAACCACTGATCACTGTGCGGTTTTTGAAGCACAAGTTTTGCAACTTGGACAGCAATTCTTTGGTGGTCATACCAAGAAGAAATTCCGACCGCAGTTGCAGCCTCATACCATTCAGCTTATTGCATTTAAGCGCCATCTATTGGATGTTGGGAGAGCACTGCAGCTGATGACTGATCCCTTGTTCAAAGAAGAGCTGCGTGCCGTTGAGAAGGTCGTTCGGAGTGCGGTTTATGCTGACCTTACTGTGTTCTATGATCAGTTGCTGGTCCGACTGCAGAATGCTGATCAGGCGGCTGATGCCAAGCAGCTTTACAGAATCTTGGATCGGCTTGGCCGCAAACGCAGCAAGAATGCAGGGCGCAGACCTTTACCTATCTTGCGACGCCCTGATGGAGAGTTAGCACAGACTTTTCAACAGCAGCAGCATATCTGGCTTCGCCAGTTTGCGGCTGTAGAAGCCGGCCTTCCGATTTCTTGGCATGCACTTCACAGTCTTGCACGGCCTGGGGTTTCCAGCCTTGACTGTGAACTTGACCCTCAGGCATTTGTCTCTCCATGGCAGCTTTTGCAAGCGATGAGAAAGCTCCGTCGTGGCAAGGCTTGTGGTCCCAATGCCATACCTCCAGATCTTTTGAAGGCGGGCGGGGCACCTTTTGCCATGCAAATGTCGTGCTTGACAAACAAGGTTATTGCACATGCGCATGAGCCCACCTCATGGCGGGGAGGAAAACTCATACCCCTTTATAAGGGGAAGGGATTGCCAAGTGATCCGTCTTCCTTTCGAAGTATCTTCGTGTCGGATTTCACGGCCAAACTCTATCATGCCTGTCTACGGCGCCCCCTGGAGCGTGCGTGGACTGCGAGTTTGCACTCGATGCAATTTGGAGGCAGGCCAGGATGTGGCGTTGACCTTGCCCACCATTTTTTGCAGATGCATCAATGTTGGGCTCGTCATGGCAAGGTACCAGCAGCCATTGTCTTTTTTGACATGAAAGCAGCGTTCTACTCTGTTTTGCGGCAGGCGCTTACTGCCTGCCAAGACATCAACAATGCGTTTCAGTATGCGATGCAGTGCCTTGGGCTCGCAGAGGCCGAGATTGCTGATATGCTGTTAGCGGTTGATCAGGAGTGTGCTCTGGAGGGTGTTTCCCCGCATGTTGAACGTTTGGTGCACGACACCATGTCCCACACCTTCTTCACTGTAGAGGGAGTTGATGCGCCAGTGGCCACTCATCTTGGAACGAGACCAGGGGATCCCATTGGGGATTTGTTGTTTAACCTCACAATGAGCAAGATTCTTGCCGAAATGAAAGCCATTGTGTCAGATTCTGGTGTAGCGACATGGTTTGGGGATCCTTCTCAGTGTGCAGACTTTTTGTCGCCCATGGACTTGCCATCTAATGGTTTTGCCGACGTGTCATTTGTGGATGACTGTGCAGTTGCCATTCATGCCAGCGACATTGGTCAGTTGCAGGTCATTGCTCAACATGTTGTGTCAGCCATGCATGTTGCTGCGCGTCGACGAGGGTTGCACCTCAACTATGACGCAGGTAAAACCGAGATGCTATGGCAAGTGCAAGGAAAAGGGTCTCGCAAGCTCAAACAGCAGCTTATGCATAACCAAAACCAGATTCGTTGGTCCGCGTTTGATGTCTCCTTTTGTCTCCAAGTAGTGCAGTCCTACAAGCATTTGGGCACGTGGCTCCAAACAGGGGGATGTCTTTCTAGGGAAATTCAGCAACGGGCGCACGGCGCAAAAGCCAGTTGGGGGTCTCTTGCGCGCCAGTTTTTTGTCAAGAGATACATTTCTACTGCCACAAAAGTCAAAGTGTTTCGGTCCTTGGCGTTGTCTCGGCACATGTATAATGTTCACACGTGGGGTGACTTAAAGCCAGCTGATCTTGTCAAGTGGGCCAATTCCATTAGGCAGCCATTGTGTTCTCTGGCAAAATGTTGCACAAAGGGATTTGCGCCAAAGTTGTTTGATGTGGCTACGCTGGGAGGGTTGATCGGCCTGGAAACACCCCAGGATCGTTTGCATGTGGCCAGACTTAGGTACTTTGCCAGGTTACTCAAACAATGTCCAGTTGCGCTTTGGCAGTTCATCTGGCATACCCAGCATGTCCCATCGTCTTGGTCTGCGCTTTTGCTTGATTCCTTTAAGTGGTTTTGCCAGTTCTATGGGCCGGCATGGAAGCTGTCAGCCGACAGTTCCCTCGGTGATTGGATCCTTGCAGTTCAGACCGACGCTGCCTGGAAAGGGAGACTCAAAGCTGCGCTTCGCAGATGCCAACAGTATCGCCAATCCCAGGCGGAGCACCTTGTGTGGCAGAAAGCATTTGACAAGGATTTCTATGCTTTGACACAGACAGCGCCACCCAGCCAGGACTCAAATCCAATGCTGTGGGAGTGTGACTTGTGCTCCAAAACATTTTCTTCCAAACGTGGCTTGGCTTCGCACAGCCAACGAGTGCATGGATATCGGAGGATTGTGAGGTTCTATGCTTCAGGTGACACCTGCCCTGCCTGTTGCAAGATGCATCATAGCCGTATGAGACTCTGTCAGCATTTGACGCACTCTGAGCCATGCATGCAACAGTTGCAAGCTTGTTTCCCCCCCATGTCTGATGCCTGCGTACAACAACTTGACCACGATGATGAGCTCGAGTTTGCAGCGCTCAAGAAAGAAGGATGGTGGAGGACTAAAGCCTTGCTGCCGGCTTGCAAAGCTTTTGGACCAGTTTTGCCCGCCAGTGACAGCCAAGATGCACGTCTCATGCATGCTAGGTGGGTTGCCAGGTTCCCGCAGGCTGGCACAGCTTTCACGCAATTGCAGGGACGTCGGCTTGATCCTGATGCATCCTTAGATTCCGAGGTTCGACCGGTCCAATCCCCTGCGCAAGGATTTGTGACGCAATCTCCCCATGGTGGCCTTGATGGTGGAGGTTTGTTTCAATATTCCGGCCTTGCTACTGTGAATGCTCGCATGAACATTTCCACTTTGGTTTTTGTGCATTTTTTTAGCGGTTTTCGGCGATCGCAGGATTTGCACGAGATCCTCGAGCATGTTATTCTTCCTAATGGGCTGCAGATTTTTGCTCTGTCGGTCGACATGTGCCTTCAAAAAGCTGCCGGGGATTTGGCGTCTGACGCATCCCTTGCCTTTTGGAAGGAGCAAATTCTCTCCGGAAGAATCTTCGGTGCAGGAGGGGGCCCCCCCTGCGAGACGTTTACGGCTGCTCGTCTCGCAGGGGGGGGGCCCAGAGCAGTTCGCTCTGCAGAAGATCCCACGGGCTTGCCGTATTTGACAGCTCGTGAGTGGCGCCAGGTGCTCGTGGGAACCAGATTAGTGCAGTTTATTCTGGATATCCTTCTGCTGTTAGCCCGTACAGGGGGCTGCGGGTTTTGTGAACATCCGCAATTTCCTGTGTGGTGCGCATCCAAGGCACCATGCAGTATTTGGAGCTTCCCAGCTGTCCTTCAACTTCGTCAGCTCAGATGCGTGTCCATCGTGTCCTTCGATCAGTGTATTTTCCACGCGCCAGCGGTTAAGCCCACAACAGTGATGCTTCTCCGACTTGGGCATTTTCGTGAATCTACTCTGGCACGAGGCAAGTGCGGACGATGTGCACACGGTTTCAGGGCTCATGAGAGATTGCTTGGGCGTGATGAAGCTGGCCATTTCCGGACAGCGCGTGGGAAGGTGTACCCGCCGCTTTTAAATGCGGCTCTCGGCAAGGCGATTGGAGTGTACGTTGAGCAGACTTTTGCCACTGAGTCAAGCTCCGTTGCCAAGGACCTGCCCGAGATTTTCCAACGTTTTGCTGCGGCCAATTTTGTGGATCCATCCGAGATCCAGCCTGACTTCCATGGCTAGTACAGGGTCCCAGCAGACGTTTTGTCGTTTCGCTTCATTGCAAGACCAAGTGCAGACCTGCACAGCATTGCGAAAGTGAAAAAGTGTCATCCTTCCCATTGACTCATATTTTTCAAGATGGCTATTGCACCACCAACCAGAAAACGTTTTTTTTTCAGTTCAGTAGGCTTCCACTGAAAAAACTGGGGTGAACTAATCTAATTACTTGGGATGGACCACTAGAGATCGTAGACACTGTAATATTCTGCTTTGGCAAAATCAGGTGCGCTGGAAAGAAAAGCATGAATGTACTTGTACCATGTTTTTGATACCCAAATCAAGAAGTGGGAATGTAAACATTGTAGACATCCAGAAAACATGGCTCTCTATTTGGGGGACCAGATCAGGTTTTTACACCTTTTGAATTGGGGGACGAAATCCAGCCTTTCAACGATTCCGCACTATTTTATGCTACTTTGGTGTCAAAACATGTCAACACCAGAGAAGCAGGGATTTGATCATATCAACATCAACAAAAAAATCGATTTGGTCCATCGAATCCCACTTTTTTCTCAAAGATTTGGGTCCTACGCAGGCGGCGAACGGCCACAGCGTTGCTGGCGAGGACGAAGAACTCGTTGAATCCAACGCAGGTGGGGCGCGGCAGTTTGGTATTGATCTTATGGGACATACAATACTGGGAAAAAATCGTAAAACAGGGATACTGGGACAGTTTATGTTAATATGCCCCCTGTTATGGTTTTTAGGTTTATGTTCAATGTTTGTTCCTTGGTTTTGATGTTTTTTCTGGGGCTGTTTTTGGGACATTTTAGGTCAAAGTGTTCATGCTTACCTTGTTGATAATTTTTTGCTTGATTTATGTTTTGGTTAGGGTTTGTCTAGGTTGTTGGGGCTATATTCTGAAGCAGTCCTTCTTATGCTCTCCGGTTTCCTTGTCTTGGTTTCCCCAATCACCAACACCTGTGTCAATGCCAAACACATGCATCGTGACTGGATTTTTTTTAGGAGGTTGCCAAGTGTCCCATCTGCCTTTGTCGTTTTTTCCGTTGTCCTTCCTATGCTTCCTGTTCTTCCTGTCCTTCGGTGACGCCCTCATTTTCAACACGTCGGGACGCCCAATGCTTGGAGAAAGGACTTGTGCGAGCTTGTCCTGTGTCATCTTGCGTCATTGTGCAGACTTGCTCTCATGTTGTTGTTATTTTTGTGATGGTATGTGATGGTGTTGATTTTGAACATTCGTGTCTGCCATCTTTGTTTTCTCCATTAACATTGGGGGCTCAAAACCCCACAACAGCGAAAGGATGCTGGGTTCGTGGGCGAAATGGATTGGGGAGAAAAGTGTGCCCCTCATCTTTGGTAGTGGGGTCAGCGGCTCTGTCATAGCCATTGCGTGGAATGCCACCGAGCAAGACTGGATGGCTCGTGCCATCCAAAAGGGGCGCTTCCGCCCAAAAAAGCCTGAGGAGTTCCAATTGGAGTTCCTAAACTTTGACCTCCCAGCCATCCACCGAGGTCTTGGCAAGAATGGCATGGTGGCTCTCATTGGCATGCAAGCCACTGGGAAGACCACCACGCTCCAGCATGTTCTGTGGGAGGCCGAGAACCCCTTTTTCCTGGAGGTCCCCCACGACGATGTGCATCGAGCCATCCACAATGAGCTCCGCAAAAACATTTGGAAGCTCCCGTGGCTTCTGGATGGCATGAGGGTAGATTGGGGAAAGACCCACAAGGATGTGGTGACCGAGGTCTTTGAGAAAGTGACCGAGAAGACCCAGAAGCCGGTTCGCCTTGGCTTTGATGTGGTGGCTGTGACAAAGCACGGAATAGATGAGCGGCATGTCTCCAACATCATTGAGGTGACCACGGGCAAAGAAAACCTGCATTTCCCCACCAACTTTGATGCGAAGTTCTTCGTGAAGCAGGTCAAATACCTTTGCGCAGACAGGCATGTGTCATCAGCCCTCATCTCCTCCAGCGAGGGCTTGATGATGCTGTCCCTAGGAGAGCCTCGCCTTCGTAAGATGCTTGGAAGGGAGTTGCCCATCTCCAAGTCCAAGGCATACCTCAAGGCCTTGGGTCAGGAGAACATCAGCGAGGAGATGCTGATGGAGATGCCCAGAACCTTTGAGAAGTTGAGGGGGTTGAGCGCATCAGCAGGCAAGGAGGCCTTTTGCAACAAGGAGATGCAAGGGTGGGTGAGTGCCATTGAGAAGACCAACGGTCAGCCCTTCACAAATGTCAAGGGACTTTACCAGAAGGCCTTGAATGAGCCGATCGGCATTAAGGACATCAGAGTGGCTACACCCGGCAAGTTGGCAACCTTCACTGGTGCAGACCCCGAGGAGACCTTCATCCAGCATATGGTCAAGACCAACATCTTCACGCCCCGAGATGATGGTCGTTATGAGTTGCAGTTTGGCTGTCAGCACAAGGCCGTCAAGAAGGTCTTTGACCTGTAGAGCCACTGAGGGGCGTTTGTAATGTTCAGACAGTCACTGCCCAATTGCGGTATCACACAGACAGACACCTTTGGACAGCCTTCATGAAAAAAAATGTAGGCTTTTTGCGAGACACCTTGATCAGTGAGACCCTTTGCCTTGATGAGCACTCCCTCATTCCCTCAAGGATGAACACGGTCTTATAGGAGTATGAGCGCAACTTCATAGGGGACGAGCCAACAATCATCAGGTATGAGCCCGTCCTCATCAAGTATGACCTCATCCTCATATGAGACAACCCTCATTTCTATTCATTTTTAGTAGGGATTTTGGATAATGATGACATCATCCTCTTATGAGCCTACCCTCATAGGGGATGAGCCTTCCAGTGTGAGGGGGTGTTGCGCCCATTCCGAGGTCAAAAAATCATCACTGACGAGACCTTCGTTGAGGGTTGGCTGGGTTTCAAACAAACATTGTGGAAAAATGTTCAACGCTTTTTATGGAACAAATCCGTTCAAGTGAAGATCACAAGAACAATTGCGGGTAGCCTTCAAAAGCCCAACTTTCAGTGAGGAGTTCAACCAACGCGTGTAGGGAGTGTCGATTTCGGACAATTCCTAAACTGTATATTCATTGGTTTTACACCCGTTCTTTGAAGATGCGATATATGATACATCTATAGTCTATAGTCTATAACCCTACACCCCACAATATTCATTTGTCAGGATGTCAGGCGACCGTGTCTTTCGTAGGGTCTGGACTCGGGCTCTTTTGTTTTTCATGCTTGGGGGCATCCACATTGAGTGGATGAAAGAAAAAAAGGAGAAGGAGAAGAAGGGGAAAAAAAGGAAAAAAAACACCACTGGGGGAGCGACGCGCTCGGCTTTTGCAACTTCAATGCGCGTCCCAGTGGTGGCAGACAACAATGACGATGAGGACGAAGACGACAACGACTCTAAGTCTGGTGAGAATGGATGGACATTTTGATTTTAGTTCTTTATTCACTCGTGTTCATGTTTTTGATGATGATTTGTTCCCTCCCCATATCTCTCTTGACAAAAAACCTTCCCCATTTGGTGGGTGGCGAATATTCTGAAATTCACATCTATGACACCCTCGCCATAAGACAAATCGTTGCGCTATCCATTTTGGTGAAACGGTGTCTATACCAAATCCCTCGGCTTCCAACGCAAGGCCCAAAAATACTTAAAGACAAGTCGCCTTATGTAATTAAGATTTGATATGCCGTGCTATCTAGTAATTGATGGTAAGAAGCACTAACAAGAGTTGAAAAACAAATATATTTCTTTAAAACAAGGATGGAGAAATCACCTATCTATTTGTCTAATACTAATCGGACAAACACTCGGCAAATGAAAAGAGAAATTGATGTTTTAATGGATACATCCAAACTCAAGCAAGAATTCAAACACAACAAACTGTTCTTAACGGCGATTAAGTCTTTTGTAAAAAAGGAAGTGGGAAACTACCTATCACTTCCTTAAACACTTTCATGTCCTTACATATATGAAGTATTGTAAGAACAAACGGGAATGGTGGTTTCCTCAAAATGATTGGACTTATACATTTAGAAATAGGGAGTTTCAGGTAAAAAACATTTTGGAAATCTTCTTGCGTGAATACCTTGAAGAACTGTTCAAGGGTTATGAGAAATACTGTAATCTAACGGAAATACAAGAGCACCTACAAAAAGTGATAAATACTTAAAGATAAAATAACTATATATAGTAAGAGAGAATGAGTAGAGCAAAAATTGAGGTTATAGATACAGGGAATATTGGTATATATGCTGACTTTGGTAGTGAAAGTGAAGATGAACACGAATGTGATAGACAAGCAATAGAAAAAGAAGATGAAGAAATTAGAGACTTTGTAAAGTGTCATCCTATGCCTTCACCAGATGATGAGGAAGGAGACAAATTTTGGAAGAAAGTAATTAAGAGATTGAAAAACGACCAAGGAATAGATGCTATGATAATATATTCGTTTGTAAATTTTGACATTATGAAAAAAATGTATGAAAACCTCACTGATAAAAAGGTCATCGTTGATTGTGGTAAGGAACTTAACCGTGATGGAAAATGGGATGCTATGGCAATAAATCAAACTCTATTAGCATTAGCAATAGATGAACTGAATGATACAGACAAACCTATCACAAGTCAAGTCAGGATAATTGAACACTGGTGGGATGGAATAGGAAAGTGGAAAGCATAAATGAACAAGACACCAAAATTACTTAAAGAAAAAAACCTATATATAGTAAGAGAAAAATGCCAATGCTTGGAGTTAGTGAAGAGGAACTGAAAAGAGATAGAGAAAAATTAATGAATTTCATAAAAGAAAATCCGTATCCTGAGTATAAATTTATAGAATATGACCTACTACTTAAGCAAGAACAATCTTTAGAGCAATACGCAGAGTATGAAGAGATAAACCACGACCTTATGAAAGAAATTTATGAAAACATATTTGATAAAGATTTAATCAAAAAACACGGTGAGAGGATACACCATAGAGGAGGAATGACAGCATTACAACAAAACTATTGTACACTATTAACACTATTGAACCATTTAATTGACCAACGAGGACTGGATAGAGACACAATCATTTTAGTGTTCTACAACATTAAAACGATTGTTTCTCAATATTGGGATGGAATAGGTAGTGGTGATGAAAATTGGAGACACTAAACCTAACGATTAATTCATAATATCTTAACAAACATATATTATGAAGTAATCACCCACCCAAACACAAACAAAAACCAACACCCTAAACAAATCCTACCCCCATTCAATCCAAACATCAACAGTGAAAGTTAGGGGCAAAGTGGTCCCAAAACCCCCTACCACATAAAACATCAAAGGTAGGGAAGAAACATTGGACAAAAACATAAAAACCATAACAGGGGACATATTAACATAAACTGTTCCAGTATCCCTGTTTTACCATTTTTTCTGGGATATATAAAACATGGTTCACTAAGATTATACATATATATATTATACATAATTATATATGCATTTAGCTAGCTAGCTATACATAGTATGAAATGGGGTGTTGGTTTGTCCCCTTTTATGGGGATTTACACCCTTTATCTGTGGCCATCCAATGAGGATCATGATCGGTTGAAACCCAGTCCCTCTACTTTTTTATAGGTTGGGTCTGTGGGTCCCTTTGAAAAAAGCTTGACGATCATCGTTACTCTCAAAAGTTAAGGGGATGAAACCCAGGCAACTGATGCTCTTATATAACTATGTCACGGTCCTCCAACTGTTCCCGTCTTCAGGTGCGGGAACACCACGCTCAAGAGGTGCTTTGGGGGTATGCATCCCCGTGTGATAACCTATATATATATTTATAGCCGGTATAATCTGTATATTACTGAAATATAGCCAGCTTTTTTGATTCTTCTTTCATAAGATGGTATGACCCTGGGTTATTTAATAAAGAACAGATGTTTTTGGATGATTCTTCTGTAGAAATCATATAACATAGATGAACATGGGATGTCTTCTAGGAGATAATAAAAATTGCCATATTGCGATGGATCAAAACCCATGAATTACCACATATCGGATGGTTCAAAACACCTCCATCTAGTGTAGCAGCTATTTTTGGGCGTCACCAGAACGCCTGGGTTTTGACCATTGAGGCCAGGATGGCCGTCTATTAACTTGCCATTTGATGGTTATACCATATTTCCAGACACATCCATACACACATGTATATATATAAGATACGTACATATTATCATACCACACAAGAATATGCGCAGTACATATATATATATATCTACAATATATGTATATATATATAACATCTATCCTTATTATATGGTTTTTCTTTTACATATATATATAAGATACCTATTAGGGAAAGTCCCTGCAGGTGAGCCTCTTCCGGCCGCTGGGAGTTGGGACCCAAGCGGGAGCCAAGCGGGACCCCTGGGAATGGGTGCTATACATGGGTTGAACATGGGATAATCAGGGGATGATAATGGAAAACCTATAGGAAATCATAGATTTTCCCATGAAATATGGGGCTTGCCTGGAAAAAATCCCTTAAACCAATCCATTGATAAATGGGATGATAATGATAGTGGTTAATAATCATCCTGCCAAACCATTTAAGTGGTTAATAATAGTCAGTTCTGAGAGATATATATATACATACACATAAACAATCAACCATGGTGAATGATAGTTGTTACTAGTGTTCAAAATCATTAGTGGTTAATGATCGATGAGAATAATGTGAACTATATCAATGGGATGATAATGATACTTATATGGGATGATAATGATAGTGGTTAATAATCATCATGCCAAGCCAATTAAGCGGTTAATTAATAATAACCATTTCTTATATATATATATACATATATATGTATCATCAACTGTGATTATAATAGATGTTAATACTAGTTGTTGGTAATGACGAATCATGGGATAATCATGGCTAATAATAGTTTATGGTGAATAATAATAGTGGTTCATGATAGGATAATGATGATTTTCATCATGGGATGACAATGTCGGATTCACCCAACATAAACCATTCCCAGACATGATCGTTGTGGGTTGGCATTGGGTGAATATCACATGAATCGCTGGTTGAAACTTCGAGTTTTCATGAGTTTTGGCCAGTGTGCTTGGCCGTAATGTTACACTTTCTGGTAATACGGCTTCCATAACGGAACATCACCACATTTTTAAATGGCAATTTTCCAGTTCGTTCTGTAAACGTTGAGACTTATCAGATCCGTGCGGCCGATGGCCAAAGGTTGGGTTTTTTCGTCGCTGAAGATAAAAAAGATTTACTGCGCACAGAAGTTCATCAAGGACTATCATAGTTTCCATTTTTTTTTAAATGGACAATAGCTGATCTAATGATTGCACATAGCTTTCAAACATAGTATTCTTAGACAAGGCTTCTGCGCGCATGCTTTTATGCAACTACATTGTTCATACAGATTCTGGGGTTCGAGG